CGAAATAAGTAAAACATCTAAAAGAATAAGCTCCATGTTTCTTCTATGAAAATTAAATGAGCCATTCTTATTATCCATTTGATTAAAAATCCGAGTGACATGTGACAATGCTGAAGCTAAATTAATATGTTCACATATAAGAAAACAGGAATTTTAAAAGGTGTAACTGTGGTAAATGACAATATGAACTTTACCGTCTTAACCATTTTTAAGTACGTGGTTCAGTAACATTATGCACATTCACACTGCTGTCAACCAGTCTCTGAAATGCATTCATCTGTGAAAATGAAACTCTGGGCCCTTTAACCAACCACTGACCGCCTTTTCTCCCGCCCCCTCCGTTGCCACTAAACCCTCCCCTATGTTCTCTTCAAGGATTTTTATAGGTTTGGACCTTATATGTAGGTCTTTGATCTATTTGAGTTGTTTCTGTATATGGTAAAAGGGCCAAATTTTATACTTTACATGTGGATATCGGTTTTTCCAACATCATCTGCTGAAAAGACTGGCTTTCCCCCATCGGATGACCTCGGCACCGTGGTCTTAAGTCTCCTGACCATTCACACAGGGTTCATTTCTGGGCCCTGTATTCTACTCCGTTGGTCTACATGTCTGGCTCCATGCCAGGCCCACGCTGTTTGAAGTACTATAGCTTTGTAATAAGTTTTGAGACCAGAAACTACAAGAGCTTTGTCTTTGTCCCTTTTCAGGGGGGCTTCAACAAATCAGGGTCTGTTGAGATTCCATATGAGCTCTAGGCTGCATTGCTGTCTTTGATACTGACAGGCTACGTCCTTGGCCAAACTTTAGCCAGGTTCTTCTGAGCCTTCTTCTCAAGTAGCCCTCAACCTTGACCCGTGAAAACGACAGACTCTCAGTACAGGTAATCGTGCGCATCCCTCTCCCCGTACATTCAAAGATTTAAACAAACACGATCACTGTTTCTAACAGCTCAATCCCCAGGATGTTTCCAGGCTGCGGGAAGAATTGACCACGTGTCTGCCCGACAGGTGAAGACAGGCCCCCAACGCACTCTTTTTCCAGCATTTACTAAAATGGTGTCACACTTTTTTGAATCCTTCCTTTGGCCCTTTCAGATGTATATGTACCTCTTCTGCCTCAGGGCAGTCTTTTCAAGGACCCAAAATAAAATTGAAATAAAATTGGGAAGGCCAGGGTTTCCATCTCCCTGTCTCTGCCTGGAACAGAACCTTCACTTCAGGAAGTGTCAGCAGCGACCCGATGGCCCTAATTAATTCACACTGCCCAAATCTGGGCCACGTTCTCCCTCCCCTACCTTTCCTTCATCCTCTCTTTAAAATGCCCACTCTCTTCGGCTGAGTTCATTTCACACGGGGCCCTCCTTTCCCGTTGCGATAATACATCGCTACATATGTATTACTACGAAATATTACTGATCACGGTTCTGTCTTTGCCACCTTAAACGGTGTCTGGCTTTGCCTGCCCTTGGCGAGACCACTAAACTGATGTTTTGCCACCAAACTGTGTTTTGAGGGGAGGGAGGAGACGCTTGGATCTCAAGTTTTACTTGTAAAATCTTGACATGTCAGTAAACATCGTAAAACAGTTTCTTTGATTTGGGAGGCTGCCGCTTGCTATTAATAGGCCACAGCTTGCGGCCACCCCCACCCCCCATATAGAGACTATTAGGACAGCTGTACAGTCACCAGGCCGAAGGTGACATGCCGAGGCCATTTTTCACTGTGGTGTTCAAAGGCTGCACTGTGGCAGGGCAGGAGGACAAAAGGAAGAGGCGGACGACCCCTCCGAAATGCGGGATGGTTCTGCTACTTACGGCTGCAGCGGGGGCTTCTGCACCGCGGGGCGACATTCGTGGACCTGGCTGCCCCGGCTGGCTTTCCGGGCCCGCCGCGTACCGCGTGGCTTTGGGCAGGCTTCTCAACGTGTCTGGCCTCAGAGTTCTGATCTGCAAAGCAGAATCAAGAGTCCCGATACGTTATTCTGACACCAGGGTGATGACCCATGTAGGTGTTAACCTAACCGCACGGCTGAAGTAAGTGTGCTGGGGTCACACGCAGGGCTGCTGAGTGTGGGAGCTGGGTCCCAGCGCGTACCCTGTCCCCGGGCTAACCCCTCAGACCCGGCCCCGGCCCCGTTTTCTGCGGGTGCCCCAAACCGATTTCCCCACCCCGATCCGCGCAGGTGGCCGCGCTGACTCCACGCCCAGAGTCCAGCGGTGCCTTCCAGCCAGTCCAGAGCAGAGCAGGGGCGTCGCTGCCCGCCACACCGCTGCCCACCAACTTAGGAGACACCTCTGCTCGGAAAATAACAGAAATATTGACTGAGCAGACGTGAGTACCAGCTGCCTCTTTAATTCCCAGGGCTTTCTACGAGGTGTAACTGTCCTCATTGTGACGGAGCGCCTGACGAAATCGGGGGTTTCGCAAACGACTAGCAGTCTGCAGTCTAATACGTGGCACGAAGCGGAAAGCCTCACAGCCAAGTCCCCAGGTCTGTCATCAGCTCTTCACCAAAGGCCGCATTTTAGGCCTGTGTAAGGCTGGAAACAGCACTTGGGGTGTGGTACCACCTTCCTTATCGTCTGTGTGGGAGCCCAGAGCGCCCCCCACATGAAGAAGAGGGGGTGGCAGGCACCGCGCATGGCTTCACTCGACATCTGTCGCACGTCGGCAAACAGCCCTCCAGGCCTGGTGACGGGAAGGGGGCGGTGACGCCAGCTCGCATGCACACAGGGCGGCCCTGGGCACTGTCACCCCACTGACAAGGGCCACAGAATTAGGGACAGCGCCGAAGAAAAAGGCAAGGGCACAAGGACGTCATCTGAACTTGGCCCTTGGCCCTGTCATCCTCCTGACCGCAAAACGGCAGAGGTCCTTCCATGTCACGGCCCACGGGTGAGGGCTGCCCACTACGGCGGGCACTCAGAGGGACCCTAACTTGCCTTTCAGTGACTTCCTGTTACGTGTGGCTGATCAACTTGCGATTATGAAGCAGTTCGAGTAGTTTTCTATGTCTAAGAGCAAAAGAAAATTATCATCAAAAGAAAGAGAGACCAGTCCGACTTATCATCTCTGTCTGTCTTTCTAAAACCCTCCAGTTTCTTCCTCTGCATGGGAGAATCGCCTTGCTCCGAAAATGCCACATTTTATGCAGTTCGTATGGAGCACAGGGCTGCTCTTCCCTCGCAGTAAAATGAGGGTTAGTGGTCTACCAGAGTGAAGGTGAGGGGTCGCTTTCTGACCGAGCTCTGCCCTTCGCCTTCCGTGTGGAGCTTTGGGCCCCAGAGCCCGGGGCTGCAGACTCGCACTTGGGAGTAAAACTATCCGCAAAGCAATGATGCTTTTGCCCTGCTGGTTGCTCACACCTCATCACTACAAGGAACAGTTCATTACATCGAGGATTTCATTACTCGCATAGCGGACGACGACGAGTCTCAGAAACACACCCGGTCAGGGTGTGGCCTTGAACTGTGTCTCCCCGGGTCTTGCTTTTGCGTCTCCTGCTGGTTTCATGGGAGGAAATGCCGCTCAGCAAAGACCGAGGGATCCAACCTTCACTGTCCAGGACGCACGGCAGCCTGTCCACCGACAGGCGTCGAAGCCTCCGCCTGAAATAGTGGACGCCAATGAATCAGCTAAATGCCAGAAAGGTGGATAAATGCAACCTCTGGAAAACACTAAAACGGGAAAAATGCAACGTCTGCCTCCCCTCGGGGACAAAAAATATCCCATTCATTTTAGTAAAAAGAGATGTTTGACAAGATCATCACTGCAAAGCTCCTTTAAACAAAGATGATAAATGCATTCTGAGAAAGGAATGGGAAGTATGCACGACTCAAAAGTAGCGGCCTGGCTGTAGGGGACATTTATGTGACTTGAAATAGGAGAATTTACATGCAAGTTAAAGACGCTGCAGCCGGACAAAAAGCAAGAGTGAAGCCCGCAGGGCGACGCCGGAGCGGCCGCACACGGCGTGTCCTTCGCACGCTCGGTGGGGACCGAGCCCGGGGGGTGGGGACAGTCCCAGCTGACTGAC